GTTTTTATCACATTTTCTTTCATTGTGTTTACTGATGTGAAATACGTTTGTAATGGAAAAAATATACTGATAAAAAATATCATGTTTAATTATAGAGAGTTAAATGGAGCGTTACTAATGTCATAAAAATATGGTGAAGTTTTGTATTCTTTAAGCCATCTGTTCAATGAAAGAAAATGTATCTAAAATGAGTTTTAGTTTTAATCCCATGCAGTTACTTACTGAATGACCTTGTCCCATGTTTTGTGGGGTATGGGGCATCATTGGTGTATGAGGGTGTGGGGTCAAAGGACTGGGGCATGGTCCAAGTGGGGTCATGGGTCCCTGTGACATATGGCCTGTACCCTGGCTCATGTGACCTTGAGGGGTCATTGGAGTGTGAGGAATTTGAGGGGTTAGTGGAGGGGGGAGAGGTGTAGGGGGTTGGGGTGGGTGAGGTGTAAGAGAGGGTGGGGGATGAGGGGTGAGAGAGGGAGGGGATGTTGATGCTGCATTTGCTGAATAACTCCAGCATGGTGTCGCTAAAACAAGGAACAATAATAGTTAACAGGTGGCAGTTAATTTATATATAATCAATAAAGTATCAATATTAAGCAATAAAATAAGGCAAACAATGACATGCCAAAAGATGTTCTACTAAATTTTGTATAATATTATTCTTTTCTGAAGATGGATGAAAAAATTCTGCCAACACAGACAGCTTATATAGCTCAGTATCAAGAATTCTCTCCCTTTAGTGTATACCATAGTCTCCCTTAGATTTTTAGAATTCTCTCCCTTTAATATAAATCATGATTTAGATTAATTAAATAATAACCTTTCATAATAAAATTGAATTTCAAGCTAGAATTTGCCTCATTTTATCTAAAGAAATATAGAAAAATATGCAGAAAAATTGCATTTGCATGTGTTAATAGCTGACTGATCATTCTACATGTATAATTAATGTTATCAATTACACAAGAATTAAAATAACATTGGCAACATTTACAGTACAAATATTTAGTTATTTAACATGTTAGTTATCTAATATTATGCTGCAAATTCTTGATGTTATTTTACAATGCATTTATTAGTATACTACAGAGTCTACAGTCAACAAATACTTACAGAGGCATCATCGATACTTTGTGATCCGTCGTCATACATCATCTGCTGCGGGAGGTGTCGCATGTTTCGGTAATGTGGGGGCGGAGCCGACAGCTGCGGACTCTCGTACTCTGAGATGCTCGGTTCACTCGTCTCCGGTTCTAACTGAGGCCTGGAAACAAATAAAATTAAATTTCGAAGGTCAGTATTTTGTAATGTTACAGGCAAACTATGCTTTAGTTATACCTAAAAATAAAGGAGTCCACTGAGGTCATAAAGCCTCATAACATTAAATTTGAAATTCTTATAAAGATCAAGTATAGCACCTTAATTTGAAAAATTTACAAAGGACAATAAAGAAATATGTTCAAAAGTTATTGGCCCAAATCTACATCAAATGGTACACAAATGTCTGAAAAATATTTCTAGTCTTGCCATGTCATTATATCTCAGTGGTGTCCCTTTAATAACATAATGTATGTTGTTTCCAGGAGCATATTTATTTTAACTTAAATATTTGTTTGAGGGAAGTTTGTAGCTTACACTAGTAATTGATCCTCTACTACTCCAAATCATTGCCAGTGTCACAAGGTCATGACCCCTAGAAGGTTCCCCAGGGGTTGAGAGGCAGATATTTTAACGACAAGATAGCTTTTTAGGACTCTTGCTGTGTTTTTTTGAAAAGTTATCTTAATTGGTATACCCTACATTATATATCATTTATCACAGGCTATTTAATAAATAGTGGAGAAAGAAAATTAATAGTCTTGAACATAAAAATTGTTGCAAAAGGAACACAATTGCCCAATGATTTAAACTGAAGCACTAAAGATGTTCAACTATACAAAAACATTTGCATGACAATTATACATCACACAGCCATTGTCTTATGGCCTTTCCTGGCTAAATTTGTGTCTCAGACTTGTGATAACGAAATACATGTAGTAATTTAGTAGTTGAAGGAAATTTCAATATCCTTAACCAGCTGGAACTCGTGGTGTTTAGTGTTTGCCACCAGTATACTAGACAAATCTGACAATCTGTGCAGTCTGATCATGTTCTATACTGTCGGTGGCTCTTAGTCTATTTTTAACTTTTTTGATAATAAAATCCCTTGAACTTTTAATGGACTGTTCGCCATTCAAAGCAGGGCAAAATTAGTACACAAATTCAGCAGGTTAAGAGTCAACTGAGAGGCTACCATTGCCTGAGTCTGATCTGATGGCATTGAACTGCAAACTGGCATCAAACATTCAACAAGGATGAAAATGACATTTTTTAAGTTAAAATGCATCCAAGTTATGTAGCCAACAGAAGAGTATGATCAGACCAAAGTGGTCCAACACACTCAGATTTCTTTAAGTTTATTGTCCCAGGTATTTCACCTCAAATTGCTTGAGCAACTTTACACTATATATAAACAGACCCGAGTGTGCGGGACCCCTCTAGGTCAGACTGTATGGGTGTACATTCTGGTACAGCCAGACGTGTTATAGAGGATACAACTCCATAGGTTTAACTGCATAAAAACTTACATCTCCTGTGGATGTCTCTGACCCTGGTACCCAACCTCAACTCGCCTGTCATGACCTTTGTTCTGGTTCATCCATGCAGCCTGGGCATGTTGGTACCCGGCGTTGCTGTATAAACACATCAAATAATTAAACATTTATCTCAAAATATTTTAAGTAATATTTTCATTCTGAATTTATATTGTTAAGTAAGCAAGTGATGATCCAGAAATATTTCAGTACCAACAAATTGAAATGTGTACAAACATACTTATCTTTATATAAATATCTTCAATTAGCAATTAAGTTAATTAAATTCAGGATATGCATTTTCGTACCTTAATGTCTTTAGATGTACAAAATTTATCATGGTCACATGCAATGTCTTACATGTGGAGAAGTTATCAACTTAATAAAAGTCCACTCATTTTAAATCTTTTCATTTTAGCTAATTTTAAATGGAATACCAGTTATAATTTTGAAACTTAATTTGTCAATATAAAACAAGCAGTTAGAAAGGATTTGTTCCTGCTTTCTGATAAAACCTGTCTGTAAACAAAACTTTCACTAAAATTTTAAAAAAGTTAAAAATGATGTTACTTATTGAACTTTAAGCAAAAATTCAAACAACTTCTTTTATTTATATCAGTAGTCCATGCCACATTTAGTATGGAGGATATTGTTTACTCCTATACTTATACTCAAGGCTTTGTTTTTTCTGTTCTTCATGCTGATATCAACAAATTCTTGGTCGTATTTTGGTGGCCAGTCCATCAAACTGGATAACTAACCAGTAATTTCTAATTTCTTCACAAGTGACTGAACACTAATCCTATATGATTTCTGAATCAGCAATGGGAGAAGATCATTTGCCAAAGTGAAATTTCGCCTTCATCGAAGGATTGATTCCGTGACCGCTGGATAAAAATCCTACACTCTCTCTATTAAGCTTATCATGTATGCAGACTATCTTCAAAACTATATAATTCTTACTGTGATTAATATTATATTCCACAATAATAAATCATGCACTTTCCCAGTGTCACCACAGGTCAGATTACTAGACCCATTCCCAAATAGGCAAACATGCTTATTTTTTCCAAATCTTTAAAAAAAACATCCCCAATCAAACTGAAATTCTCGATTACAAAACAAGTTCATTCCAGCATGGTATCAAACAGATATTTCCATACATTTCATTGTCAAATTTTTAATGCTTTGAATGATATTTGCATTGGTTGGAATAAACAAAATACTATGACAAGAGCATGAAGGAGGTTCCAAAAGATACAAAATATTTTTCTAAATTAAGCAACTTTACAACATAAAATTTCCCAAACTGGGCAAAGTACTTTTTCCAAAAATGGCTAGGAAAAAGCCTGACAAAGAAAGGCCTTTGTTATAGAGATAATGTACTAAACAAGAGGGCCATGATGGCTGAGTCGCTCACCAGAAACAACTGCTTTTCAGTGTTGGAATGTCAATACATTTGTATATTCTAATATTAAATTTGAGCATAGAATATGTTTAAACAGTATAACAGAATAAATGCCATGACCTGGGGCATTTAAGCTTTGGCTTAATAGTGTCAATCAAATAAATATGAGCAAACTTGATAAAAGACTACCTAAGAATGCTACAAAGTTTGGTGATCATCTATCAGTTATTTCAGTAGGAAATTATGTTTAAAGGTTTTTCTATTTTTAGCTTTAGTGGCCCCTAAAACGGGCCAATCAAATAAATATGAGCAAACTTGATAAAAGACTACCTAAGAATGCTACAGACAAAGTTTGGTGATCATCCATCAATTAGTTCTGTAGAAACAGACGTTTAAAGGTATTTCTATTTTAAGCTTTAGCGGCCGCTAAAAGTGGCAAATCAAATTAAAATGAGCAAACTTGATAAAAGACTACCCAAGAATGCTACAATGTTTGGTGATCATCCATCCATTAGTTCTGTAGAAATAGATTTTTAAATGTATTTCTATTTTTAGCTTTAGCGGCCTCTAAAAGGTGCCAATCAAATTTATATGAGCCAACTTGATAAAAGACTACCCAAGAATGCTACCGACAAAGTTTGGTGATCATCCATCCATTAGTTCTGTAGAAGATGTCTAAAGCTTTTTCTATTTTTAGCTCTGTTGACCCCTTAAAAGGGCCAATTGAAATGACATGAACAAATTCAAGTGTGACTGTCACAAGGATGCTACAGACCAAATTTGAAGTAAATTTGCCCAGCAGTTTCAGAGGAGAAGACGATTGTTGATGCATGACGACGGAACATTCCCCTTTGATACTAATAGCTCACCCTGAACCTTTGGTTCTGGTGAGCTAATAAAAGAGCTGCCAGTAGGTCAACTTGCCCAACTAAAAATATACAGAAAGCAAGAGAAAGAACAAAGAATGTTTTAATAAATTTATTTTTTTGGTTTTCTCAATACACAAAGTAGCAAAACTTCATACAAGAGAGAAATGATGCAAATTTAATACATGATAAAATTTTGTTCTGCTCACAAAAACAATCTACATAGAGAAAGTTACAATATTTACATAACATATAAACTATTTCAATCAGCTACACAAATGCATACACTATTTCTAAGTATATAATATGCACAACATTGACACTAAAACAATGGAAGTGGAGTCTTAATGTACAAGTAAAACTGTTTTTTTAAATCAGATCTTTATATTCTGAACTGAAGTCTCATTTATTTTCTCCTTAAATTACAACAAATGGAAATAACATGTTAAAGATCTTTAACAGGTTATATGGCCCTATATAAATTGTTGTTAGTATACATAACCCAAGCCGTTAGGCACTGGGTATATTGCAAATAACTGTTTATAAACAGCCAAATATCCTGTCAATTACTTCCTAAATCCACTGGAGTTGTGTATATTGATTATACATGTATAAGCATCACAGTTATCCAATGAAAAAATGATGTTATAAAATGTGCAGTATTACAATAAAAATTAACTCCTTTGAGTTTCCTGCAAGATTTCTTACATAGCTTTGTCTAACTTTCAATTTGAGAATTGTGTATTATCGATTTAGGGAATGTCAAGTGCCTGGTCAGACTGCATAGATGTGAAAGTTGACCTGTCAAAGGCTTTTCTACCTTAAAAGATGTAAAAAAAAACCAATCATCAAACCAGAACACAATGTTTAATGTAGAATGATACAGATGTTGGTGATAATTATAACTATGTAGCAAATGATATCTTAATATTAAAACTATGTAGGAGTGACATGGCACATTATCTGAAATGATATTTGAAATGTATGACCTATTCATAATGAAGCAAGAAAACATTTAATGTAAGTAATTGCAACTTGATATCAATAAACTGAAGAACTTCGAGACATTTTAACACACAATATGGTCTTATTTAAGCCACAGTTGGTCATTTACAGACATGTTAGTATTGTATAAACATATTTTAAGCACGTTTATTAAAGGGTGTAATTAACCTAGTCTTCCTCATTGTCAATTTTCTCATAACCAGAGTATTGTTTATAAAAGGTAACAATTGCCTTGTAGCTGAGGAACTGATTAAAATATAATTTTACAATTTTTACAGTTTTATTTTACTATTTCATCTTATATAACAAACTTGTTGGTTTATAATCAATATTCACCATGTTCAGATAAAACCATAATCAAGTTCTTTTTTCCTCATTTTTTACTGAAAATTCTGTCTCTAGCATGTCTTTCAAAAGTATGGAACATTAGTCACATCAAATCTTTGGGATATGATTTTTTCTCAAATATGATAGTTTAAAACTCTGAGTTTTTCTCTCCCTATTTAAAATGAAGGCACTTTTTTATCACTGAACACACAGATGTGAGTTGTTATCATATATACCAATGGACTAATAGGTTTTAAACTTAAATCCCTAAAACACTGAAAATATACAATGTAGGTTCTGAACAAGCGCAGGTTTCCACTCAAAGCCAAGGTCAGTCTGGTATTGTAATCATCCCCACACACTAGAAATAAAGCAAAAAACAACAACAAAATAATGAAAAAATAAAATAAAATGAAACATAAAAGCAAAAAACAAGAAACAAAAACAATAAACAAACAAACACATTAAAAGGTTCTACTTAATATGTTTTAGGAAATTGGTAAGGTGGCTTTTTTTCTATTGCTATACATCCACTTCTATAACAAAGCTATACAATACATCTCATTTCATAACCAACATAATAATCAATATTTCTGCAACACAGATGCACTAACATTCTTCAACACAAATTTCTGGACTAATTCGATGAGGTCAGATTACAGGACTTTTCAACTTAACCAAAGGTGGAAAAATAACTGAACCAAAATCTATGGTGTGCTGTTCAAGGAAGAGAAATATGCCAGTGAATAAAGTTAACCTTTACCAGGCTTTATTTGAATATAACTAACTATTGCAAATAAGAGGGGTCTTGATATAAAAATGCTAATATTATCACTAAAATATACAGTATGGTCAGACAACAGATAAGAAGGCTGGAATGGCTATATGCTGATAGCACAGGCAAGTAGTGACAAACATGCCATAAACAGCATCATTTATGGCCATTTGTTGGCTATGTAATTACTTGGGGCAGAAACAACTTGCCTGTACTATCAGCATAAAACCAACAAATGGCCATAAATCTATGACGCTCATCACGGCATGTATTTCATTTTGTAAGGTTTTTAACTCACACCAACACTGTAAAAGTCATATGGCAACTTTTCTGCTTACCTGATACACTTATATATCAAACAGCAAAGACTACATGTTTACAAACTGAATGGTATGTTTACCATAGATAAAAGTGGATGGCATTGGTTTTAAAGTTGATCAAGAAGAGAGCAAGACTGACAGACAACAAGTTTTCTAGTAAAAGTTGGACAAACTATAGTTACAACACCACTCAAATAATATAATTGCTACACTAAATCAATCATGTATAAACTAAATTGAAAATAGAGAAACATGCATGTAACAAAAATTATAATCAATAGTTGCTCCTTGATACAGAAATATATCATGATGCCATATTTTTTTTAATTGTTTTTTTAAACTAAGATTTTTTTTGTCCTGATAAATTAATTAAACTAAACCAAGGCAACAGCCATAACAATATTTCTCTTAGATTAGTCAATATTAAATAACATGATCTTTGTTTAACTGACCTTAGTTTTAGCCATATTTCTCGCAATTAATCTCAGAAAGATGTTTTATATATTTCTATTTCAATAAAAATAATACATACACATGTAAATAAAAAAAAAATACCACAAAAAATGGTGCTGAGACTAAAATTTAAACCTCAAAATAAAAAATAAAACAAGACATGAAAATGATGACAAACACAAACATTTAATACAAAAACACCATTAAACTAACAACCACAAACACTCAAACAAACAGATCACTTACGAAGATTCTGTGAAATCAGCTTCAGAACCTTGTTCTGACGCACTTTCCTCATCCATTCTACGTCGTTTCACTGCCGTGGACTGATGCTGAGGCATACCAAGACCAGGTGCTGGGGTTGCCGTGTCCCAACTTTGGTTAGATGATTCTTCTGCTAGTGTTCCTGGTAGAAAAAAAAGGATACTGAGAGTGTCAAAATTGATTCACTTGATTTATTCCATAAACAAAACTGAATTAAGAACAAACAAACAACTGACATAATGTTGTCACAAACACAATTTTCTGCTGATATCGAAAAGGTGAAAAAACAAGGGTCATAATTCTGCCGAAAATGATATTGGCACAAAACCCTAGGGCACTTGGTGACAATAATTCCTGTTGAAATCCCCGCAATATGTTGGGGTAAAAAAAAAGGTTCACACAAAGACTTGTTAATGCCTTCCCATAGACATATACTAATACAATAACCAGCTTTTTCTTTGTGTAAAATAAAGATAAAGTTTCTAAGCCTGAATTTATATCAACCATATATATATAATATGTGTAAACTGTCAGTCTACTGCCGACACATATAAATATACATACCATCAATATTGGTGACATTTCTCTTCTTGCCGTAACGTTTCTGTGCGGCCTGTTTCAGGGTGATAGGATGTATTTCATGTTCTCCCTGTACCAAGCTGTTACGATATGTAAGCAGGGCTTGCCAGTCTTCCGAGTTCCTCGATATTGGTGGAACACCTGCCAACTGTTTGTCCAAATAGTTCAACCTGTCAGACAGGAACAGCAAACATTTTATTTCACATATATGTTAATAGCATTCACTTTTGGGACAAAACATTTTTTTAAATTTAAGCTTACAATTTAGTATGCTTACAATTCATTGGCAATGCTTACAATTCATTGGCAATGATTTAACTTATACTTTCCCTTTCTTACCAAAGAAAAACAAGAGGGCCATGATGGCCCTGAGGTCGCTCACCTGTATATAGGCCCCCCCCCCCCAACGTTGCAGGGCCAATTTAACCCAAGGGCTTTTATTTGCACAAACTTGGTAGACACCCATAAGAAGATGTTTCATGCTAAACATCTAAGCTCTAGCTCATTGGGCTTTTTAAAAGAAGATTTTAAGTTTTTGCTATACACATATAAAGAAAATCAATGACCCCCGGGGCAGGGCCAATTTTGACCCCAGGTCTTTTATTTGAACAAACTTTGTAGACACTCACTAAAAGATAATTCATGCTTAATATCTTAAGGCAAGTTACTTTAAGCAGAGCCAATAACCAACAAGAATGTCGAACGACACATATACCCCCCTTTCTAGCCATTGACTCACATAATTGGTAATTTTATTAAAGAAACTTGCCAAAAATGGGTACATGGAAGTGTTCAATTATGGAAAAATCAAAGGAAACCATTTTGACATTTAAGGCCCATGTGACATTGACCTTTGACCTAATGAACCCTAAATCAATAGAGGTCATCTAATACTTATGACCAATAACTAGGTGAAATATGAAGACTTTGTGATGAATACTTTTCAAGATAATCATCGGAAACCCTTTTGACATTTAAGGCCCCTGTGACCTTGACCTTTGACCTAGTGACCCCAAAATCAATAGGGGTCATCTACTAGTGATGACCAATCACTATGTGAAATATGAAGACTTTGTGATGAATACTTTTCAAGATAATCAGCGGAAACCATTTTCACATTTTAAGGTCCCTGTGACCTTGACCTTTGACCTAGTGACCCCAAAATCAATAGGGGTCATCTACTAGTTATGACCAATCACTGTGTGAAATATGAAGACTTTTGTGATACATACTTTTCAAGATAATCAGCGGAAACCATTTTGACATTTAAGGTCCCTGTGACCTTGACCTTTGACCTAGTGACCCCAAAATCAATAGGGGTCATCTACTAGTGATGACCAATCACTGTGTGAAATATGAAGACTTTGTGATACATACTTTTTAAGATAATCAGCGGAAACCATTTTGACATTTAAGGTCCCTGTGACCTTGACCTTTGACCTAGTGACCCCAAAATCAATAGGGGTCATCTACTAGTGATGACCAATGACTGTGTGAAATATGAAGACTTTGTTATACATTCTTTTTAAGATAATCAGCGGAAACCATTTTGACATTTAAGGTCCCTGTGACCTTGACCTTTGACCTAGTGACCCCAAAATCAATAGGGGTCATCTACTAGTGATGACCAATCACTGTGTGAAATATGAAGACTTTGTGATACATACTTTTTAAGATAATCAGCGGAAACCATTTTGACATTTAAGGTCCCTGTGACCTTGACCTTTGACCTAGTGACCCCAAAATCAATAGGGGTCATCTACTAGTTATGACCAATCACTGTGTGAAATATGAAGACTTTGTGATACATACTTTTTAAGATAATCAGCGGAAACCATTTTGACATTTAAGGTCCCTGTGACCTTGACCTTTGACCTAGTGACCCCAAAATCAATAGGGGTCATCTACTAGTTATGACCAATCACTATGTAAAATATGAAGACTTTGTGATAAATACTTTTCAAGATAATCAGCGGAAACCATGTGGTCTACCGACGGACAGACCGACGGACGGACCGACAGACAGACAGACAGACCGACATTAGCAAAACAATATACCCCCTCTTCTTCGAAGGGGGGCATAATAACTTACCCAATAAATCAACCATTCCTAAAAGATTACCCCTATATCATGAGAGATGAAGCTAAAAGCTTTAAATAAAGTCTGTATAATATATAAATAGTACAGGAAAACAACGTTCACTTACACTGTCTTCTTATCCTGTTTCATAAGTTTGTTGGTAAACTCACACAGTACCTCCAGAAATGATATATTGGGCGGGGCTTTACTGAGGTCATTAGGGTCAACATTGTTGATACTGAACAATATACCATCTCTGAAATATATGAAATTTTTCCTTTATTTCAATGGATTTCTGTACCTTAAATCTGTTTTATTCCTATAATTTCAAGCACAGATAATAAAACAACTATTCCAAAAGACAAAATCCTTTTAACATAACATCAAGCAAGAATTGCTCAACTTTAGCATTTTCCCTTTTTACTAGTGATGGACAGTTCTCAAGGCAAAGTAAAGAAAAATATGTTACACAAATTCAGTAAGGTAAGAGTTATTAAAATTTAAATATCATTCAAATATCAACCAATCACCTAAGATGTAATACAAACAAAACTTGCAATAATATCTCTATATAGACAAAGGTTATACCTATGCATGGCTGCAACAGCTTCCCTGTTCTTAACCTGGTCCAGTCCAAATGAGAGTGAGAATCTTCGTGCCAATTCCTTGATGGATTGAAAGGCGTCTGATGATCTGTCTATCATGCCCCTTTGTTCATCTTGTAGCTCTTTGAATAACTGTCACAAAAAACCAACAACATGTATAGAAATACACAGAAATTATTATAATGTATAAAAAAAACAAAAATAAACAAAACATAACAATGTTGTCTTAATGTTTATTTGACAAATCCTGACCTGCATTTTGTGTTGTTTCTATTTTGTTAAAATTAAATATAAATCCTTGCCATGATAAGCAGCATTCCAAGTTTTACATTTAAAATTGTTTGAGTGATGGGCCACATTAAATTGTTAACAAGTGTGTTTCAAAGTTTCAAAACCATTACTTGTTATTTTTCTTACAGACACTGTTATAAACTCGAAAGACCCAAGGTGCTCATTGCATTATTTCAGGCAAACCCAGGTACCTGAGTAGAACCACCAACATTTGTAAGCAAGGCGACATGTAAGGAATTTTCTTGTCTGAAAGAAGTAAGTAGTATATTTTACTATACCTGTGTGAGACTCATGATTAACGTTTTAGCTGTATGAACTTTGTTGATTTCTCGTGCTTTACTCATAGTCGCCTTTATGATGTCACCATAATCGTTGTAAAACTGAAATTACCAGATCAACTACTGTTTACACTGATACAATATCCAAATTTGTCAGAAGTTCTTATACATATTTCAAATCAATCTACATTCAATTAAACACATGACTTATATTGCACATGGGCATTTTAAGCAGAAACTTGATTTGATTCTTGGCAGTAAGATTAATTTCCAAAATGTACCCGACAATAAATAAAACATCTTAAATACAGTTTGCTCTATAAAAAAATATAATACAACTCACAATAGGACATAAATATTATGTTAGCTAATAGTAGTGATGGTCCGATTGTCGCCGCTATTCGATTATAGATCGGTATGTTGATAATGTCGCCGACATCGATTGTGGTCGAACAGAATCGATTGTCGCTTAGTGTTAATTTTTGTTCCTTTGTGGTAGTTATTTTTCGTAGTTTTTTAGCTTTGCGCTATTTAATTTGAATACTCTTCAATCTTCACGAAAACAAAAAACCCAGAACGATTTGAATAATAATTCTAAACAGGGAAAACATCATCAAATGTCTGGAATCATTTTGGTTTCCACAAGCTGAATATTGAAGGGCCCGCTACCGTGATAACTTGGACATGGCTAAAGTTGTGTGCAAGCTTTGTGGTAAAGGATATGCACCCGTTTAAATTAAAATCGGATTCTGATACTGTATTTTACTGTAACAATCTTCGTTACACTGTCCATTTATAATGTTAAAAAATAAATTTAAAAGGCTTCTAAACTTATATTTACCATGACACCGTTTATGGTACGGCGATTCTGTTATTAAAAATGAAATAAAATAATTAATTTTGTATGTGGAATGGTAACTTACATTTTTATTCCTGATCATGCATATTAAATTAATTAATTAATCACATAGATACATTTTATCAATTTTTGGTAGCAGTTATTAATTTATTATAATTTATATGACTATGACTTGTTCCCACAGGAATGGGAACCCTGAATCTCAAAATTTCCTTAGTTTAACCATATTTATTTTAGCTCGATTGTGAAATAGACACTTAAATAAAAACTTTATTTTTGATTAAATAAGTAAATGCTGGCAATAAGGACACATTGATTTTCCTGAATATGAATATGAAAATCATTACATGTATGTAAACTGTGTCCTGACTGAAGAATTTGTATTTTGTAATACGTTAAACAGACAATTAGATAAAAACATTAATTTATATTGAATTAAAATTGTAATGATTTCTATTTTCTAGTTAGTTATGCTGGAAAACATTCAGTCCGATTATTCCGATTAATTGATCGGAGAGCCTGTCCGATTGTTCCGATTAATCGATTATGAGTTTGTCTTCCGATTCCCAACACTAGCTAATAGCAAGATATATTGAAAATTTTCATAATTATTATTGAATATTAGATATAAAGAGACAGTACAACTTCTGCACAGCATTCCCCCTTAAGAAGACAATTATTTTGGCTTTTGCTGATGGGTGTTGCTCTTAAAATAGTTAAAGTTAAAAGATCCTGTTACTCAATATATTTTTTTATGGTTTTATATCATAAATATGATGTTCAAGTTAAGATTTATCAATATTGGAAGTTCCAAAAAGCATTACTTGTAAAGATATTTCCAAATTTACATTTCATGTAAATAAAGGGAGGTAATTAGAATTTTATTTTCTATTAAGTCTAAGCCAAATTTTTCAATAAGAAATGAATGCATATATTTCAATGATTACATATAATGCCTATAAATGTTTGCAGTCCATATCTTACATATTCTTGGATGTTTGAAAATCGTTTTAGAAGAATAATTATATACATATATGAAATTTGACTTAAGTGTGGTTACAACCTAAATTAAAACAAACAGGATCTTTCATGTGAATTGATACTATGAGAAGACATGTTACGTGGTTGTAGAGACGTAATTGCTCAATAGAATGCCGCTCAGCATTGATACTGTTAATGTAAAGGAGTAATTGCTCTACAACATTCTGCTCGGCAGAGCTAGCACAGTATGTATAAATAAAGTGGTATACCTTCATATAATGTTTGAACATGGGAGCTGCCACCTTGATATTAAGAACATTATAGACAATCAGTTTACAAAAACAAGCCAGGAAGTTTCTTCTCTTGTGAAGTTCTTCAATCTTTATATTCTCATCAACATCATCTACAATTAATATGTAATAAAGATTACAACAATATAACTACAGTTCAATTTATAACAATACAGGTTTGCATAATTACCATTAACTTGCTAAATTTCTTAACTGCCATTTTTGGAACTGACCACTTTCATTTTTGGTGAAATCAAGATAAAAATCTGAAATTTTACACTAGTTTCCATAAGCTAGATGGATAGCTTTCTCAAATGAAGTATCTGAACCTACAGCTTTGACCTACAGATGTGAAAGGCAAATGGTTTGGAGTTAGAGATAAAATTGTAGTCAAATAAATGCCAATCTGCACCTTAAGTACATGTGGCATTTTTCTTTTTGCAAACTATCTGTTATCTACATACATACATATGAATATCAATTACTTTAGACACAACCTCTGACAATTATGTCAGGGAACAGATTCATTGGCTACGTGGTGAACAGCATTATGTATGTGTGCTGGTAGTTGTAAATTCAAATCCAATATACAGCGAAATTTATCATGATGCATTTGCATCTTTCAGTTAAGAATTTGAAATGGCCATAAAAAAACATAAATCAGTTTATAACTTGGGGCATGTACATAATAATGAAGACTTCTTGTTTCAAATACTAACCATCATCATCCTCTAGGAAGACTTTGTCCATTAGAAATGAGCTCAGCTGGTTTTGTAAACTTTTCTCTGGTTCAAATACAAGTGGTCGCAACATTTCCTTCTCTCCTAAATTCTTACTGAAGATGATTAGTGAGTCACATATGGTAACATATGCCTGTAATAACAGAAGTTACTGCTGTTAAATAAAACTTCATACAAACCCCGACTGTTGTCTTAGAAAGTAAGCTGTCAATCAACCTTTAATTACATATGTATATTAACTTAAATCATGAATCATGGAGTATATTATCTTATATCAAGGTGTATATTAACTTTTATCAAGGAGTTTATATACTTAAATCATGGTGTAAATAAACTTAAATCATGGACCATGGAAATAGTCCCTTTGTTTAAATACAATAATGAAATAATTCTTTAACCGTCTTTAACCACATAAAAGATTGAATAGTACATGTATTTAGATAAATTACTAAAACAAATGCCATCACTCACATAACGGTACAAAGTAATGGGGAAAAATGTTTTTTTTTTATTATATTGAAATCATTACATAACCAACAGCATAATATTCTTACATCTTCACTGATTCTATCTCTACTATGGTATAACAACTGATGTAGGTATCTCATGAAAGTCATTTGATGTTTTTTAATGGTTTGAACATAATCTGGGTTAGAGTTTTCCTCGATGAGTCGCAAGTTCCACAGTAACAACATGTGTATGGTTGTCTGAGCTTTACTAACAATCTCGTCGGCCAGTTCCACATTCTCCGAAGCGAGACGTACAATGTGGAACATGTCATCCCAAAGGTCCCATGAACTCAGATCGTGACAACTGCAAGGTAAACAGATTCTTTTATAAATACACATACAATGTATATATATCATCATCTACACCTACTAGCTATAGTAATGATTTGTTCAAGCTATCAGTATATGTAAACTTGTTTTCCCTTTTAATGTACAAATGACACTTTTAAAATGCAATGAAATTCCATTTGCATAAAATCAGGAGGGCAAGAAGAACAGAAGCCTGGATAATATAGAATTTTTAAAGGTTATAAAGGGCTCTAATTTTGTCAAAATTCATGTAAGAGTTATGGGCCTTGGTCTGTTTGTGTCTTTGTTTCATTTTACACCTTTTTCCAACAGTATTTCAGTCATATAGGCGGGTAGTTTCCTAACCATAGTTCCTGGAGAGTTTAACCAGTACTAGACTACCTTCCTCCGCGCTAAACTACCAAAGCATCTCCTGGGGATCGAACCCATGCCAGAGAGGTAACTGGATTAGAAGTCATCGACTCTAACCCCTCGACCACGGAGGCGGTCCTTGGTCAATGACCTATCATGCTCTTAAATAAATATGTAAGTTTCAAACCATTCCCTGGAGTACTGTTTGGAGATACCAAAGCTGGCACCTTGGTGAGTACAATAGCTCTCCCTATTCTAAATAATGATAAAATTCTTGATCTATTACGGCCATTAAGCATATGAAGCCAGACAAGTTTCAGATAAGGGATAATTACCATGAGAAAGCATACAGTCTTTTAAGGGCTGCAATCAATGCATAAACTTCATCTTCATCAGGTTGCTCTCCCTGTCAAAAGAAAAAATATTTTTTTTATCAAATAAAATCAATTTTAACTAGGTTTCAAGTCGCAAGTTTTAAGACACCGTTCAGGTAATATGACACTTTTCAAGCTTTACCAGTATAGGAAATGAAGGTGACATCTCAAGTTTCAGGCATAAGCACCAGAGTTAAACCTGTGACCTTCCATAAGCTGGGATGTTTAACTTCTTCAAAGACTAAATTACAGAGCGCATTACTGGATTTGAAGTCAGCAAACATAACCCTCCCGGCAACGGAGAACCCTGAGTCGTACTTGATAAAATATTATATATAGTATATATTAATCAGAATTAGTTGAAAATATACATCGCAGGACATCAGCTCTAATGGTGTGTCAATGCAAACCATATACAGCAGAAACAACCACAAAAGGTGTTAAGTTTAAACTGGAAAATTAGTTCTATATCAGTTCATTCTATAAAATCAATTGTATCTTCACCATTTATTAAAGCTACATTTTAATTTACCTCAGCAAAGAAGTCCTGCATTGCTTCTTTGAATTTCACCACCAGGCTGTCAATGAGTGTTTTTCTGGCAACATCACATTTACCACTGATAGCGTAAGCCTCGTCACACAAACACTCAAAACATTTAGAGCATGATTCCAGTACTTCCTGATCAGTATGCTTCTCTACTATCTCATGTAAGTATCTCAATAAGCTCTCTAAATTCTGAAACACAATACATTTATTTTAACATTTAACCTGCTCGAACCGAAGTAATGCCTATGCAACCAGTATAGACCCTGACCAGCCTGCACATTTATGCCATCATATCAGGGCTTCAAATTGATATCAGCTCAATTTTTGTATTTTATTTTAAAATCTCTTAAATTTTTTTATTTTTTTTTTTGGGGGGGGGGGGGGGGGTTTAAGTCACACAAACAGTAGATGTCATATGGTGACATTCCTGCTTTACTGGTGGATGAAGACGTCAGGTGCCCCTCTGTGCATCATTTCAGGCACAGTCACCTGAGTAGAACCACATTGCCATGGTCTCCGTTGGACACAAATTGTCACAGGGTGAGAGAAATATGCAGTCTGAGACTTGAACCCTGGACCTTCGGAATACCATTCCGTGGCTCTACTTGACTGAGCTTTCCGCCAACTTATACATCCTCTATCATAAAAAGTGTTCAGTTCTAAACCTTGACATATAGCAGTAGGATAATCCCAAATTCGAATCAGGTTATCAAGACTATAATAAGCTAAATAATTTACCTTTTCCTGTCTACTGGAGGTGTAAATTTCTAGATCAAAGTACTGGGGGATCTGTAGTAGATTAGAAACTTTCTCTGGATCCATCAAGTACTGAATTAAAAAAAAAAATAGTTATTATAATAACATGCTGTTTTAATATCATTCTTCAACACTATTTTCAATCCCTATTTTCCAATGTAAAAACAATCCAAAATTCTAACAAGATGGAAAATAACACTGACTACAAAACTTTCATTAGGAAGCATAATTATGTAAGAATCAACTTTCACGATATCAAAATTAATAGAAAAGTGATTAATAAAATTATTTTTAAACTTTGTTTATCTGTTACATGTATATGCTGACTTTTTAAAACACATTTTTGGTCAAATCTTCAGTCAGTCAACCTAACCAGCTTTCCTGAATAGTAAAAGCAATGTAATGCTATATATCTTTTTTCCCCAGAAAACAGGTTTAAACTTCATACAATGTTAGGTAAGTTCTTTTTTAGCTATGTGAAATCCTGTCTTAACATTTTGTCCCCCCCCCCCTCCCCCAGATATTGAATTTAATGACAGGGAAATAACAATCTAACCTTCAATAAGAGCTGTGGAAGCGCTGAAATAAAATGTTCTGTCAACTTTGTCTTGTCATCTTGTACTGACTGCTTCTCTTTTGCTGTTAACTAATTTTTAAATAAAAAGCAAAACAAACATTTATTTATTATTTTCTTTTCCAAAGCAACATACCAACAAATTTCAGGTAATTTTCTCCCAATCTGTTTGTAACTGGGAAGAGATATGATGATACTCATAATTCAGTTACGCAGAAAACTGGATGTGAATTTATTTATTTATGTTTCTTAAGCTACATTTATCTTGACCTTGATTTTTAGAAGATTTATTTCACTCATCTGGAGGCATGCCCCTTTACATAAGAAATCAAATTGGCAAGCTTCTATTAAAGTTGATCTCAAAAGAAATCTGTAATCAAAACATATACTAGATGACTTCTTTGGATTTCTGTCGGTTGAGTTCAAGTAAACAACCGATACCATTTGGCCAACGTGTCTTCCTCTCAACACATGGACATTTTTTAGTTTAAGCTATATTGGGGGAGCCGACTTCAGAGACATGCAAATATGCTTCAGCACAATCCAGCTTACTTAAACAAGTTAAAACTAACTTTCTATGTCTGGACATACCTTTTGTTTACCATGCCCTCTACCAACAGGGGATTCACCAGTGGCTGCCTGTTTTACACAACATACCATGATCTCTATCAAACTAGTTTCCTGCTTGTCATCTAGGGCTGTGTGAAATAAAAATCTTATTATTATACTTATTATTGTAAATCCCTGGGCACTTTAAATGACTAGTAGATTATCATCTTGTGGGTCTACACTGCCCTGTATTTACCTCTTATTACTAGGTGCTCTGCTCTTAAAGATCATGTATGTTGGGATCAAAGTGGTTAACCATACTAAGTGAAATTAAATATAAGTACACAAGTATGCAAATAAAACTCAAACATCAAAGAATATGTAAAATATGTATTGCAAATATTTGTGCATATTATATGTAATCATTACAATATATGCATTTATTTCTTACTTTATAGAAACTTTATAGAAAACAAATTTCTAATTACCTCCCCTTATCTACATGAAATGTTAAATTCGGTAATATCTTTATAAATAATGCTTTTTGGAACTTACAATATTGATATATCTTAATTTGAGCATCATATTTATGACTTAAAACCATAAAAAATTGTGTTACAGGATCTTTATAAAGTAAGTAAATTGTGTAAGCTTAATTTTTGTTTTTTTTAAATTGTCTGTTTGGCAAAAAAAACCAGAAGTTTCTCTTCAATGTCTATTATCCAAATTTATAATTTCATCTGTCATAGCAACAGCTTTATGATTAGACTTTCAATAAAACAAATGAGCCGCGTCACGACAAAACCAACATAATGGGTTTGCGACCAGCATGGATCCAGACCAGCCTGCGCATCCGCGCAGCCTGCGCATCCGCGCAGTCTGATCAGGATCCATGCTGTTCGCTTACAGACCCTATAACAAGTAAAGAAACTGATAGTGAACAGCATGGATACTGATCAGACTGCGCGCATGCGCAGGCTGGTCTGGATCCATGCTGGTCGCAAACCCATTATGTTGGTTTTGTCGTGACGTGGCTCATATTATGATAATACACATTGATACCTTCTTCATTTTTGCCTGGTTCTTCAAGGAGTAGATCAGTCATACATTCCCAATCTTTCATCATTGGATTGATATCCCACAGGCTGTCAACAAGGTATGCTCCATGTTCGTGTAACTGAAATAATACCATAGTGAAGTAGAAGTGTATCCAAAGCTTGGTGTGACTGTATGGTCAAACCCATATTATAACATATTGCGATGTTTTTAACCCAAATGGCAACCTAGCACAACATACATTACACTAGTCACTTTTATTTTTGAATCATACTTACCATATTTGGCAAAAGGAAGCATATACTATTTTACTGTTACATGATAAATTAAGAACATTGCTTAAAAAGTTGCTAACAATTAGTGCAAGCATATCATAAAAGAATTCTTATATTAATAATTAGTTCACACGATCTTTAAAATGTATACATGAATTAGACTGCCTTGATTCATAGATTGTGTTTCATCATTCGTGTACAAAATTTCTCTTTAATATCAACCTGTAAACATTATTATTATATATATCTCATTTCAAGACGTATAAATGAGGTAGGTGACATATAGGCCCATTGAGCCGGGTGTTCTAATAATTGTCTTCATTATTGTATATTGTATTGATTATAACAAATGTCAATTTAATAAACAATTTACTTACTTGCATATATGCAGTGACTGAAATTTAATTATGAGGCACAGTAATACAAAAAGTTTAAAATACTTAAAAAAGGGCTTTTAATGGATACTGGCCAATGTTTGAATTTAATGGTTTGTGAAATTCACTGTGGTGTTCAATCCAGAATGTAGTATTTTTTTAACAAAATTTTCCTCTTACCTCACTTTCAATGAAGAATTGAACCAGATCTCTGATGAGAGGTGTATTTGGACTTCTCTTTTTCCCCTTCGCTGTTTTAGCAACAGTGGCATCATCGTCCTCATGTCTGAACAACTTGGCATTCAGAAACTCTCCAGCTGCTTGCGCAACCTGTCAATAATTTCAATGGTGCAAGCATTAGGAAAGTTAAATAAATTATACAATTTATTTTCTTGGTTTGCCTACTTTTTACAATAAACTATTTCTGTTAGAATCAAAAGGAAAAATAGGTTCCTTCAATTTATCACGGATTCAAATTTGGAATCTTTCATTTTGCATGATAAACAAGGAATGTGTCAATAGTACAAGAGTGTCTAAAAGATTCCACTAATTGCAGAGTTGCACCTAGGCTGCACGATTGCGCAATTTGCCCATATTTTATGAAGATCGGGCATTTTAATGAAGTCAATGCTAGCCAAGTTGCAAATTTGACGATCTTTTTAACTTTATTCAGTTTATCTTCATTGTATCTTGAACGCTTCACCCATGTTTGTTTTCACTTGTGATAATGACTAAAATATGTACTAAATCACGTGTAGCAGTCGACTGGGTCAACTCTTGTGTGTATTGTAGTATTAGTCAATATCTTATTTTTTCTATATCCGATGTTGAGCGGACGATAGATGTCAAAAATGCCTAAACGCAAAATAGATGAATTCTTTTCGGTATGTCATATTGTAAGGTAAATGTATGTCCCCCACATTGTTTTCAAATCCCCCACATTTTTCAGTTGAGTGGGGGACAATCCCCCATAATTTTGAAATTCTAGATGCACCACTGTATTTATCAGTCTATAGACACAGTTATTAGGATGGACAAGGACAAATCTTTATGCACCCTATTAGCATAAAATACCAATATTCACTGGTTAATCATAATTAATATATTCATTTTTTTTTTTTATCTGAAATCCAGCTTTATTCTAAAATAGCCTGCATTTTTCTACTAAACTTTGATTAATACCAGTATATGGCTAACATGTAAAGAGTTGTACAAACCTGTCTATGGGATGAATACACCAGTTCATACACATTCTCACAATCTTTGTCACTCAACACTGCATCACCAAAACTACTGCAATTACATATATAACTGATGGTTAGTTGAAACAAATTGCTCAGTTTTTGCAATATTCAGCAAGAATTAAGTTTAAGCAATTAGTAATTTTAAATTCTATCAATTTAGGAAAAGGAACCATGCACTTATTTTAATCATGCCAAAATAAGATGATAACTATTAAGTTTATAAACAATAGAAAACTAAAACAATTTGAGGGAGAGATTATTATGTAATTTCTTGTTTCTCAGAAATAACAAGATTGCCTTCGGAAAGATTTTCCTACCTCGATTTTTTGGATCCCTCCATATTGTGGGCAAGATCATATGAAAACCTTGATGACAACCATATAATAAGACAAACAACTTTTGACATGTATTAAGATTGCTTACTTTAGAATACTGATGACTAATTTTACACCTTGTACCGCCACTTCTGTCTCTTTATCAAGTGTCATTTCCACTATACGATCCTACAAGAATATAACATATCATGATAACTGTTATATCTAAACATTGAGTATTTTTAGTATCAGAAACAAAATATGAGAAACAGACATCAAAAATAGTATTTGAATATATTCAAAAAAGAAAAAGAAATGTTCAAACATTAAAATCCTGATTCATTCCCAGCCCTTGAATTAAATGGACTTTTCCAGTGTTTACAGATTTATGTACATTTGCTAACTTGTTATCCAATTGCTACACTGAGATAGTACATAGTTACTGGTAGACCCGGTTTGCACAAAAGAACACATGGTTATGTTTGTGATACTGTTTGTGAGCAGTTGACCTAGCAATGAATGTTAAAGTAGTGGCTAAATGTTCTGCTACGAAAAAACGGAAAGGTCCATATACTGCACAACTGCTTTTTTAATATATAAATTTGCAGCAGCCACGTTTATAGAAAATACAAACATCCCTACTGTCCAATGAAAATTGTCGTCACAAACATACAGCGTTATAAGATTATAAAGATCCATATATGCGGAGTGAGCGAACATACCTTGAACCTGTTTGTGAAGTACTCCAATTTATGACAGAGATCTGATGTATCATACAAAGGATATAACGCTTTTAGACAACCAAGTCTTACATCCCCAACCTAAAAATAGAACAAAGATTACTCAATTGACATTATTTACAGTGCTTTTTCAAGTTAAAGGCACGGTGGTCACAACATTATTTATCTTTCTCATGTTAAACTAGTGTTTACACCTCATAAATGTAACATTTTGTTTCCCTTATAGCCATCACTTTTTGTATTCCTTATAACATTACAGTTAAAAATCCTCATAAACTGTAAAACATTGTTTTTCTGTAACAATATTACAATAAATATCTCTCCTTCATAATAAAAATTGAATTCCTCGCATCCTCTTAAGTTTGTGTGTTTGTTTGTTTCATTTTACGCCTTTTCCCAACAGTATTTCAGTCATATAGGCATATAGGTAGTTTCCTAACCATCGTTCCTGGAGAGTTACACCAGTACTAGACTACCTTCCTCCGTGCTAAACTACCAAAGCATCTCCCGGGGATCGAACCCACCCCAGAAAGGTAACTGGATTAGAAGTCATCGACTTTAACCCTTCGACCATGGAGGCGGTCACATCCTCTAAGAATTGCCTCCATATTTAATAAAATAAAATAAGTCACTATTGACAAATTTTATTACTGTTAAATTCTTTTTTATACAGACAGTAAAACTGCCTACATTTTTGTTTAAAATTATTTTCTAATAATTTAATTGGATCAAACTTTCGCCCCAAATGTGAGATAAATCATTTAATCCAGATAAAATGGTTTAACCTTATAAACAACAAACCTTATCATATAAAGTCCAGCCAACATATTTGAGGTAACCATCATCAAGGAACATGTTGGGATATTTCTTCATCCATACTCCAATCTCCTTCATACAGATTGACCTGATCTCCGCCTGTGTATCCCTACAAAAAATATTAATACTTTTTGCATTTTTTTTCCATGGGTTTTACATTGCACAAACATTAGAGGTGAAATGGCAATTTTACAGCTTTACTGTTGGAGGAAGCACAAGCAGGCACCTGAATAGAGTCACAGTAAAATAGCTAAAAGCTTTCTCACATGAAAGAATTGAAAGTCCCTGGCTTTATTCAAACCTATAGCAGTGAAGGGCAAGAGGTTTGAAGTTAACAATCCTTTACCACTTGGCCTCAGATGCCTCTTATATAAATTGATTAAAACATTTTTTGTTACCAATGCTTTTACCTTAATTCACAGTCATACTGATACTATAAATATCAACATTCCAAAATTTGTGATTGTTATGTGAGGAAAGACCTAAGGTGATCTTTGATGCATTACTTGTATAGCAAGTTTGAATGTGTCTAAGTGGAATCTACAAAATTTATGAAATCAGCTCCTTTGCTTCTTGATAGGAAGTTCCATGAAATATGCATACTTATTTTGTTATCTTCCCAATTTAGTATTTTGATACAGAATTCACCTCCCATTAACATTCGATTAATCGAAATACAATGCAAGACATGTCCATAACACAAACTAAGCAATGAAAGGGTTAACCCTGAACCCGCGTTATTTCATAAATAACCTTGTTTAGATCCCATTATCAATGTTTTGGGATATAAACATTGAACTGTTCAGCAAACAATACAGAGCCTGGTCAGTGTGTATGGATATGCAGAATGGCTTGGCTCTAAACTGAAGGTAAAGATAGACAGTAAGATATGAGCTTTTCCTACCACAAAACATCAAACAACAATATCAGAGGATTGAATTTACTTTTGTTTTTAATTCTAGATTTTAACGTTTTTGGCCTTGTATCTCTTTACCTGTATCTATGGACAAATACTCCTTTAAAAATGTATGTCAGCATATTTCTAATTTCAGCTTGATTTTCTTCCAATTCTTGACGTTTGACTAGGAGTAAATTCAGACGTTCTGTGGCTTGTTTGTTTTTGGTTTTCTGTCGTTCAGCTTCATACTGTCTCTGTGTGTTGTCCAAATTTATACTGAGGTTTAAAGCAACGTCTACGAGGGCCGTCATTAGTTTCATCGCTATAACATGACAAACAAAATGAATATTCATTAAAATCTATTGTCACTCTACACTAATAGCACGCTAAGGACTGTTAAAATCTCTTCATTTAAGTAACATTATGGCCATCCAACTGTAAATCGTGGGTACACAGATAAGAGTCAAAATAACTCTAAATTTTGCCATTATTGTAATCACTTTTGTTTTTTAAATGCAAAAATAATCAATAATCCGCATGATCCAACAGAAATTTCTATAAATATTGTTTTGAATGATTGGAAGCATTCAATTTTTAAAGAGTGGAGCAGTCTTTTTTCAGTTCAAGTAGTTTTCATATTTTATCCTAAACACTGTTTATTATCAATTATTGGTCAATCACCATGAAAAAAGTCAATATTTTGAAATATATTACTAAATAATTCAACACAATTTGATTGCAACTTGATATCACTTTAACAAATGATTAAAGTTTAAACTATTCTTATATTTCTTCATGGAACAACAGGAAAACCTGCAGAAATTTAAAGCTAATGCTCTCATCAAATAGTTTTGATTTCATAATGCAAACAAAGACAAGGTGTTGGTAAATCATCATTTTTTTTAAATAAACAGAAAGGAATATATGCTTCTTAAATCAAATGATACATTTTAGATTTCAAACCCCTTTTTACTTTTAAGCGATACAGTTTAGACCCCCCCCCCCCACATTAAAACCATTATTTAACAAACATTACAAAGACTTGTACCTATTGGCATTTGTACCTACCTGCCAATGTGCTTGTGTGTCTGAAAGCTCTGACCTGTGAGTCAGTAAGTCCAGTTAATAATGATATGACATTATCCATCATGTACTGGTCATAAATGATACTGTACTGGCACTGTCGTACAAGAACCTGCACAAACTCACAGTAATTGGGCTTAAATTTCTTCCATGACGGACCCGTCATAATGAGGGGATAATCTCCACTGTCCTATTTTGAAAAAAAAATTTGAATCCTTTAAACAAACATGCTTTAAGACATATATATTGATGCATAACAGAGGTTGTTTGAATTCTAGCTTTTCTTTGCACGAAGTCACACAGACACTGCCAAGGTCATATGGCTAGTTTCGATCTTATCTGGTAGAAGTAACTCTAAGATGCCCCTCCAAGCATAACATGTGCATGAACTTCAGGCACAATAGGATCCGGAGAAGAATCTTTGTCTGTCAGCTAGACAAATAGAGCTATCTCACACAAAAGAATCCAAAGACCCTGGTAAGATTCATATCTCGACAGTAGGTCTACCTTACAAGCTTTCCTGGATATCGAACAAATTCCATAAGTGACAGACTACTAATCCCACATGATTTCTGAATCAGTGGTGACAGATAAATGACCACTAGAGATTAATTGTCAGGAAGAAATGTAGCTTCACCCATTCAAAAGGCTAGCCTTTGAATTATAATAAATGTAATGCTCTGCTAATAGAGCTAAGCTTGCAGATTCAGCAGATTATCAGTGCAATCAAAACTTAACAGATCAACAGACTAACTTGACTTTTGGATGTTGGTATAAACATATTTATTATTCCTCGCATGAATTGAAAAAAAATTTCATCAAGAATTAGTGAAGACACTGCGTATTCAATACATACATCCAATTAAGACGTATAATGTAAGTTAATCAAATAGAAACTGTGTGATATGTCTGGTTAATTACACCATCATATGAATACCAGCATATTCCAAGTTTCACATTCAACTCCTAAACTTTATAAATTCCCATGATAAACTAAATACAACACTAATCTCTACAGTATCAAATACATATCAATTTTCTGATGTTTAATTAACATAATTAGTTTCAAAGTTAGATAGATTCCAACATAATCGTGATAGTAAATACCAGCATTTTGAACAAGGATGGAAAGAGTCAGTTAATAAGCAATTTAAATATCTATTTCCGCATTTAAAACAATACACAATTAAGTCCTGCATCTTCCATATTAACATTTAAACGAGCAATTTTATGAAAACATTTCCTATCCTCAAAAGCCTACATGCTTGTCAATTGTGTTATTTAAAACCCAGTAGACTATGTTAAAGTCAATGACATTGAGTGAACTTAAAGTGAGTTGGCCTACAATGGGCACATTTTTAATAGGTATTTCAAATATTGTTTTTTTATTACTGGACCAGAATTATAGTCATATATCTAGATGCAAATATTGTGGTGAGTCGGACATTTCTCCTTTACCATACCTTTACCATACCCTGTAAAGTGATTAGCCGAGTGATTCACCAGTATACAGCCAGACTAGCCTACACATCCATGCAGTCTGACCAGGCTCTTTACTGTTAGTTACTTTATTTTTACATCAATGATATTCAAATCCCTTATCCTTTAAATGGACTGTTCTAAATTCAAAGCTTGGCTAATCCTAAAACACTAATTCAATAGTTTACTGCCAAATTATTGTATTTGTGGGGAATTAATTTTCGTGGTTTTCGATGGGTCAATCCACAAATTTAAGATTCACAGAAATTTCATTTTGTCTGCTGTGAGATTATTTTGCATCACATTATTTACATTTTGCCTACTGGATAGACAGTCAATGAATTTAAGAACCCACGAAAATGTTCTTTTTTGACAAAACCTTGAAATTTCAATCCCATGAAATTCATTGACTAAAAAGAACTATATAAAAACATTTTTTTTTACCTCATCAAATTCTTCTGTCATTTTCCTAATGATCTCTGCATGTTCCATGTTGGAATACATGAACGGAGTTATCTTTCCTTTACAGCCAGAGCACTGTATGAAGAACTGTATAAGCTCAAGTAACGAAGAATCTCTGTCGGATTTATAGTTCTCTATCCAATCATCCACAACAGTCTAGTCAAATAATAATAAAAATTTTAGTCAATTTAAACCAAATAATAAGAATCTCTATCAATTGAAACAAAATAAGGATTTATTTTTAACCAACTGAAACAAAAACAAGAGGGCCATGATGGCCCTGAGGTCGCTCACCTGTATATAGGCCCCCCCCCCCCCCCCCCCCCCCAACGTTACAGGGCCAATTTAACCCAAGGGCTTTTATTTGCACAAAACTTGGTAGACACCCATAAGAAGATGTTTCATGCTTAACATCTAAGCTCTAGCTCATTGGGCTTTTTAAAAGAAGATTTTTTTAAAGTTTTTACTATACACATATAGTTAAAAACAATGACACCCCTGGGGCCGGGCCAGTTTTGACCCCAGGGCTTTTATTTGAACAAACTTTGTAGACACTTACTAGAAGATGTTTCATGCTTAATATCTAAATTCTAGCTATTTTGGTTTTTTTTCAAAGAAGATTTTTTTAAGTTTTTGCTATACACATATAAGGAAAATCAATGAACCCCTGGGGCGGGGCCAATTTTGACCCCAGGGCTCTTATTTGAACAAACTTGGTAGACACCTATTACAACATGTTTGATGCTAAATATCTTAGCCATAGCTCTTTGCGTTCTTTAAAAGAAGATTTTTTAATTTTTTACTATATGCATATAGGAAAATCAATGACCCCCGGGGCGGGGCCAATTTTGACCCCAGGGCTTTTATTTGAACAAACTTGGTAGACACTTATTTAGAACATGTTTCATGCTAATTATCTTAGCTCTAACTCTTTTGGTTCTTTAAAAGAAGATTTTTTAAGTTTTTACTATATGCATATAGGGAAAATCAATGACCCACTGGGGCGGGGCCAATTTTGACCCCAGGGCTTTTATTTAAACAAACTTGGTAGACACCTATTAGAACATGTTTGATGCTCAATATCTTAGCCATAGCTCTTTGAGTTCTTTTAAAGAAGATTTTTTAAGTTTTTACTATATGCATATAGGGAAAATCAATGACCCCCGGGGCGGGGCCAATTTTGACCCCAGGGCTTTTATTTGAACAAACTTGGTAGACACTCACTAGAAGATGTTTCATGCCAAATATCTAAGCTCTAGCTCTTATGGTTTTTTAAAAGAAGATATTTAAAGTTTTTTCTTTCGGTTGCCAAGGCAACCAGAGTTCTGCATGGAATTAAATTCTTTGAACAATTTTTAAAGGTGACCACCAAAGGAACATTCCTGTGAAGTTTGGATGAAATTGGCTTAGTGGTTTATGAGGAGATGTCATTTAAAGTAAAAGTTTACGGACGGACGCCGGACGAAAAGTGATCACAAAAGCTCACCCTGTCACTTTGTGACAGGTGAGCTAAAAAGATTATTTCAATCTTGTAAATCCAATATTGTCAGTAGAAAATGGAAAACTTACTAAGTTTGTTTTCTTTTATGCCTGGTTTTAAATGATACTAATTAATGATACTAATTTAGAGTTAAAAAAAACAATGCTATCCAGAATTTTCAAAGTGCCCAGTGAAAATTTAAGCGTGGCTAGCTTAACTAGCTTACTGGAGCTTATGTAGGTAATTCAAAAAAAAAATCAGTGAATAACAAACCTGTAGAGAAGCCCTCCCTGCCTTGACTATCTCAAACAAAGATCCGCCACCTTCTTCCTCTTCAACGTGAGCAGCTACACGACCTCTACCCCTACCACCACCTCTACCACGTCTTGATACCTGTCATAACAATATAAACATATAAAAACATATTGACCATCAGTTTAAAGCAGCAAGCCTCCCAAGTTTTTATTAAATTCTTAAGAAAACTTGTATTAAGCTGTATTAAGCTATATATATGCTGGAAAAATTAATATTTTCTTAAAATCGAATGGCCCCTCAATGATCTTCCTCCTTATAATACAACAATGGCCTCCCAATTGAAATTTTCTATAAAATCATGTATTTTTCTCAAAAACCTGAACTCTTTCCGGTCCCCAAATTAGCAATGCTAGCAACAATTTTTCCCAAAATCATGAGGCTAAGAAGAGGCTAAGGCCTCTTCCCAATTAAGTGTGAAAAAGTCCCCGTCCATTCATAAAGTAATATCTAAATGGTTGAAACACTATTTAAAATAGCAGCATAAGTTAGTTCTGAATCATTCTATTCTATCTATGTACAATATTTATGTGTGATAAATAACTGAGACATTCTATGTTACAACTCTTTTGAGAATCAACAACTATCTGATTTTGCTGTTACTAAATTCTATACAAGATATTTCATTAGATTATAGATATAGGATAATACCATTTAAAAATAGTTACAATGAGTAAAAATATATTACACCTACACAGATTAAACCTAGCAAAATAAATTTCTTTTACCTCCTGTAATACTATAGCAGGGGAGAATTTTGGTGACAAAAAAGTAAATGCGGCGGTATTGAACAAAGAAAAATATTTTTGTTCCCTCCTTTAACAGGTATCTACTACTTAGCAAGAAGCTGGTGTGTAATATACAAAATGTCCAACTTCTGTTTTATATACGAAATAAATAAGTAAATGTATCTGCAGAGTTTACAGCACAAATTTTACAATGACAGATTGACAGTCAGTAGTAGTTTGAAACTAACCGTAGTTCCATCAGTTTTCTTTTTCCTGCCACGGCCGCTGGTCAGAGGACGTACAACTGCCATTTCCTCATCACTGTCATTATCATGATCATTGTCCCTGTAATATGGTAAATTACAAAAATTTTATGGTTCTAATTTTTTAAGAAATTATTAAAAAGTCAACTTTCAAAATCAAAGATTACTCAATTCCACAAGTATAAAATTTAGAATTAATTTTTCGAGAACACTAATTGCTAATTGCACTCTTAGCTATGATAGTATAAGACATTCTATTATTTCAAAATTGGGAAAAAAAAAAAAAAAAAAACATGAAAAAAAATACAACCAGTTGTTGACAATTATTTCTTCAAAATTTGGGAGAAAATATAGCTCATTACGAAATGTAACAGCATCAGTCTACTTACATGGATAATTCAGATCCAGGCTCTGCCATACTTTGTACTGCATCATGGGCAGCTCTCCTGGGTCGTACCCCAGGCATCATCAGTCACTTAAAATCATATAAAAACGTTATTATTACAACATGCTATATTTTGTGAATATATAAACAAAACTACTCCTTGACAAGGCTTTCATTTTTATCTGAAGCAACAGATGTGCCAAAGAAAACATTGAACCAATTTGGCCAAGGGTCAAGTGGGAGATTTTGATATACAGGCTGAAAATAAAACCGATTTTAACAGCATTTTAATCGAAGATACAGTGTTTTTTTTCCCTTATATAACTGGTACCGGAAAACGGCACCGTTCCCAATAGAAAATAGACAGCAAATTTCCCAATTCATAAATGATGACTGATAAATTCCCAAACTAACGATGAAAATTTCCTCAAAAATCCGCAAATCTAAAGGTAAACAAAAACAGTAAAGCCATTGATAAGTGATATACGATAAAAACCAAGTATAACCACTGTCACATGAGTGATATTTGTTCCCAGTTCATTTCGTACTTTTAGTGTTTCACACCTTAACATTATCTTTGTACATTAGTTATGACTATTAATTTTTTTTTCAACCTGAAGTAGCAAAAATCAGCGATTTTTTTCCAAATTTTCAAAACAACCTGAGGCTTACTAAAGGGGAAAATATAGCACAATATATTAGAAAAGGGGGAAGCCTGAAATCAAATTCCAACAACTGGAAATGAGATTTACCCACACATTTTATGAAAAATATTAATCTCAATTCAATTTAACATGCATGGACAGCATGGTACATAGCAGAGGCTATATATAGGGACAAATTTCTGTCTTTAAGCTGATATAAGTCAGATGCTCTTAAGTCATGGTTCTGGTAAGGAAGAGCATGAGACATTGTAGGGGAAAATATTAGCATTTTTAGGGGAAAATATACATATTTTGGGCTAGGGGAAACAGCCTTTTATTCGGCTGTAAAATACAGTGACAGTGTCCAAAGGACACACGGATGCCCCACTGACAACATATATATGGTATATAGTGAAAAAATCAACAAAGGGCAATAATTCTCTTAAATTTGGTCCTAGCAAAAATCCCTTCCTTTACTGCCATCTACACATTAAGGTTGTTCATCCCTGCAAGTTTAAGCAAAATCTGCCATCCGGTTTAAGAGGAGTTGCGTTCACAAAATTTCTACATAGTATGTAGTGAAAAAATCAACAAAGGGCCATAATTCTGTTAAATTTGGTTGCAGCAAAAATTCCATCCTTTACTGCCATCTACACATTAAGGTTGTTCATCCTTGCAAGTTTAAGCAAAATCTGCCATCTGGTTTAAGAGAAGTTGCGTTCACAAAATTTCTATATAGTAGGTAGTGAAAAAATCAACAAAGGGCCATAATTCTGTTAAATTTGGTTGCAGCAAAAATTCCTTCCTTAACTACCCTACCATCTACACATTAAGGTTGTTCATCCCTGCAAGTTTTAGCAAAATCTGCCATCTGGTTTCAGGAGTTGCGTTCACAAAATTTCTACATAGTATGTAGTGAAAAAATCAACAAAGGGCAATAATTCTGTTAAATTTGGTTGCAGCGAAAATTCCTTCCTTTACTGCCATCTACACATTAAGGTTGTTCATCCCTGCAAGTTTAAGCAAAATCTGCCATCTTATGTAAAATTCCCAATTTGAGTCAAACCAATGGATTTTTCACAATCTGTCCCGTAACGGCACCATTCCATAGCAGGGAAAAAACACTGATACAGTACAGCTGAAGCATTTTTTACACTTACCTCTTTGTCACCATGAACACTTTTACTGCAAGTGAACATACTATAGCCAAAGTGGCAAATCACCTTGGACTGGTTAAAAAAATCATCACAACGGTGGAAAATCACAAAAAATGCATTTGCCATGCATTTTGACAGACAAAAATAGTTAATACCAAAAACACAGTGACTCAAATTTAAAGGAATAGGAATGGATGGATTGATGTCTGTCTAATATAAATATTCATCATTTAAAAAGAGGAACCATGACAGTTTTCCTATTGACGTCAACCCTGTAAGAGAGAAATTCGTGTTTTAAGACACTATTTTTTACTTGAGAAATAAGTTCATGGGCGCCGCCATTTTGGCGTTCTGTCATTCTCGCGAGACAGACGAGACCGAGATTGTGACGTCTTATACCCACTTCCGGTATAGGTGTACACGCTGGTACAACTGAAATATATCTTGATGAAGAACTTATTAATTTTATTGCGTACATTATATATTATTTATGAAAACATCATATGGAACTGAATTGCTTTAATTAATTAATTAAAGACGCTGCGACATTAATAATCATTTGTCCGATATTCAAGCTTGCTGATGATCCCACCACATGATTTAAGCAATGACAGCTTAATTTTCAAAGTTAAACCATAAATTTAATTTGGGTACTATGAGAAACTTCTTCAAATTGACGATATATCCTTTTATTTGTACTTAATTGTCGCTAGACAAGCTGTCCAAATAGGGTACATCGCCGGTCATGTATCTTTTTTTCAGGTAAAATATCAACTAAATCCAATATGCTGAGGACGCGTTTTTCCGCCATTGACGCTAAAAATGAGAATGGCGCAGGAAAATCGGCAGCCAGACTAATATCGTATGAAAACAAAACTGTCCATTAATTAGGTTATTTAGGCACCTAGTCAAAGCTGGTACCAACAGCAACAGGTTGCCCATTCCCCTATAATTACGCATATTCTCTGGTTTATCCAGTTCCCTAAAGCTTTTTTCCACGTTATCTACTTACCAAACTCCTTTCTACTACCGTAAATTTAATCCAATAAAACAAAAAATCACAAATCTATATCTAATATCTTAATATTTAAAATGATTATTGGTAACTGAAAAAAATGTGTTGCTATTCTATGACGTGCTGTAATTTACTACGGTGTGGAACCTAATTCCCCCTAAGGTCATTCAGTTCACTGATGAATCGTAAAAAAATAGATGTCTATTTCGTCATAAGAATGTATGACAAGGGTGATTAACCAATCAGGGCAACATTGTGCATGATCAAAAGGTCTGTCGGCACAGAGGCATACAAATTAAGGAGCAATAAAATTCGTCAGTACACAGTGTGACAGGAATTAGGATCAATTAAAATGGACAATGCGCAATATTAGACATAATTAACTAGTAAGAACCAACAATTGTGTGAATAAATTATGCAAATTAGATTTTTGAGCAGCCAATAAAAATGATTTGCCTGCAGTTAATATTAGGCTACAATTACGATGCGCAGCATCATACGTTGACAGACATGTAAACAATTTACTTTTGAAAAGAGTTGCTTATATTTTTGAAATGTGTACATCAATTATAACATATGTTCACACCTTTAAATTTGAAAGTCAGAATCAAACTGCCAAAATTTAATTATACTTACTATTTAGAACACGTTTTAGTAGGGTTTTTATAATGGAAGTGGCTAGCGTACGGGCCCGTACGGCTAGCCAAAAGTTTTAGCCGTAGCCGTACGTGAGTCACATACGACTAGCAAGGACACACTGTATTGGCTAGCCGTACGGCACTTTTTAAAACTGTATGGAAGTCGAAAATGCATATGTTATTTTATGACTTTAAGCGAGGATTTTAACCAAGAAACAGTATAAATTGTCTTCGGATGTTAACTTTTTAGAGATTAATCGCCTTGATCGCTATATATATATATATATATTATATAAATATATATATATATATATCGATCTTTGTCATCGAAAGATGTCGAGAAAAAAATAGCCTTTGCTTGCATTTACACCAATTGAAATAGTTTACAAAATTTTGATAATAATCCTTTTTTGTTTCATTTTTTTAAGTTTAATTTTCAACACCTTTAATATGAAAAAAAAAACCAACAAACACTGAAAATGATTGTTGTTAGGCTCTTGATAATTGCGACAATTACCGAAGGTACTGTATAGAAGTTTGTCCATCAAGGAAAGTTTGCATGTTCCGTAAAAGGCATTCTAAAATTCTATTGTCAGTCCCTGGATAGGTTTTAATTAAGGCTAATTAATTGATTGACTGTGCCTTAATGTTCGATATTTATCTACTGTTTTTAAAATTAAATAATTATTTTTGCATTTTACCGTTTTTTGTTTTTTTCATTCAATGTTCTTTTTATTTATTTATTCCACTCCGATCATTTTTTATTCGATCAATGTGCTTAAAATTAACAAAAATGATTAAATAATTCATACAAATTAAACAACAAATGATAAGCATGAAAATCAACAATTTTATAACGTTCGACTTCCATATAATTTTGAAAGGTGCCGTACGGCTAGACAATACAGTGCGTCCTGGCTAGTCGTTCGTGACTCACGTACGGCTAGAACTTTCGTAGCTAGCCGTACGTTTCTTTATTTTTTATTATTATTTTTTTTTATATTGTTACGTATTTTGAACCATAAAAAATCTCCTCTACACCTCCTGTGAAAATTAAATTGTCTGGTCAATACTTCATTATATTAATATTTCCTTACGATTCAACTAGATTGATCATGAATATAAAGATGTGGGGAAATGACATCACGCGCACCTGTTTTTACACGGCCAATACACAAACATGGCTGCGCTTACTGATTTGTAGAAATCGGTGATTTAGCGATTGAAATTTTGTAATAATTTGTTTAATATTATTATTTGGCGGCAGAAAATTTGCAGATTTATTATTTATAGTATTCTTTTTCTGAAATTTAGTTTTTATTCTAACCTTGTTTTTCCCTTTAATATAAAAATTTACTGGTCTATTACAATTTGCTTTACTTAATTACATTTGTTTATATACTTTCAATAAATAATTTTCGACATAGTCTGTAATCTTCAATTATGTTGCAAGAAACATCATTTGGATTGGGAGAATCTAACTCGCTCTGCTGGGCGAGTTTGATTAACTTCTTTCTCGCCTTACCACAACTTTCACTAGCAAATGCAAGCAGCGAGTGGATCAGTTGAGGCCTGGGTGCTGTGTTCTGACATTCATTCATTTTTACTGAGAGACTAAAATCTGGAAGTCAACCTCCTGTATTGGGAATCAGGATCTGGGTCCAAATATTGGGATTCTTTTTAATACCGCCGGGATATCACATAAAAGTCTACCTATCTACCTATTCTTAGGGACACTCTAAATGCGCTCTGAATTGCTGAATTGTCACCTCTAGTTCATCTGATTTGTAAATATTTTAACTGCGTATTATATGTCCAGCAAATACACTACATATGGCAAGTTATATATTATATAGTAAACTGGTGCTGGATACTTATTTTGTTCTTGATGATCAAGGGGAGATTATTTAATAATAACTTGACCATCATTGCTAAGACAAACATGCCCAACTTCTGTATGGTACATGTATTTATGTTACTGGGTAAGAAAAAAGGGGAAGCTTGATCGGCACTTGACCCTGGGACCGTGTCACCCTTGGGATACTGTTTCGCGGCTCTACCAACTGAGATATCCGCCGCTTACACTGTTACACATCTTCTCTCCTACTAACTTTACTTACTTCATCCAATCCAGGGTAGGGTCGCGAGATCAGAAATCTCTTGTAACCCCCTCAAGGGCTGACACCCAATAATTATTTTCCGACAGTATATAATTTGTTTATCATAACTTTATCGAATCTAAATTATAAGTCAACAGTTGTTTTGCCTGGTGACATTTATCCAAATTTTATATCCGAAATTGCATACACATGGTGCATTTTTGTAAATCGTCTATAAAATTCTAATGATTAAATCAAAGTTATACATGAAAGATAACAACTCAACTAAAATGAAAACAATATGAACTATATAATTATCGTCTTTAAGTTGTTTTAGAGGACAGAAATTTATTTTGTCTACTTTGTCTTTTTGTGTGCCAATTTTCAAGAGGGAAATTAGCACATTTTTGCAATAAAATCAAACAAGCATGAATTGCATATGATCGATTATGGCATTGCCAATGTTAATATCACCATAAATAAGGAAATTATGGTTATTATATGCTTATATTTACCAAAATACTGTAACTTGGCGGGAATAATTTATTTTCCAAAAACCGGAAGTTTATATCACGTGACAATAAAGTTTAATCAGCGACACTAATGCAAAATGCGTAATTGTTACTTCTGAAATGATAAAAATATTAATTTATGAAAATTTAATTTTGATAAACATAAATTATTCAAAAGGCTTATTAACTGAACACACTACTTTTCAACTAATCCTCACTTATTTCTATCTAAATTGATATTTAAGCTAGAAACATATGTGTAGAGCTCTCTGTCCTGTTGTTTTATATAAAAATACCTCCTTTACATCGAATTGTTGATATTTATATATTTTTTCATTTTTATCATTTAACATTCATCGCTCAAGATGCTACTAAAAGATCATACTTTCATACATGCCATACTCAAGTCACGTCAGAATACTGTTTTTAAAGTTCACGAGATGAAATAAAATTACATCTTACACACAAACAAATTTTCTTTTTATTTTATGCTTAAAAACAAGTTTAAGTGAAATTGCCTTAATATTTACTTTATTAGCCTTATTTAGTCGAATATCTCATAAAATACAAGAAGTCTTGGGCTGAAAAATAAGTTTGACAATCAACGTTAAATGGCGATGATATTATTCCATTTATTCAAATGATATGAATGATCGCGTGTTTTAATAATAAAACAAACAATTCTAGTAGGAAAAAAGTCAAACCATCCATCCTTATTTCTGTTACTTACGGCTGATTTATATTAGACATGGCTCTGTGAAATGTAAGCGGCCGCCATTTTTAAAAGTTGTGTATTTCACCGGAGGAAAATAATTGTGTTTGATTCGGAGGATATCATTTGGATTTGTTAGTCATACATCTTTTTAGAAGAAAAAAAACGTATTTGAGGATTGTGACAGACAATAGATAAGTGTTGACAGATGTGTAAACATTCAAAAAGCGGCTAGGAAATTGGAAAACATGGAATTTGTGAAAGGCTGTCTTACAAAAGCTGGGTTGGTTAGTGGTTACATATGGCTAATGGCTGTCATTGCTTTTCAAGTTATTAGGCAGTTATTAATCCAGTCTCGTTGAGTACTTTTATATGCCCAAATGTCACCAAGAGCAGATTTACATGTGAAAGGAATTGTATTTTTCAGACTATAAAAATGAAACAAAAATTTAGAGACGGTATTTGGTGATTGATAATTTGAATGAATTGAAGTAATTTTTCTTTTTTTATTACTTTGAAATTTCAGCTTTGCTTTTCTTTAAACAGCCCGACCATGTCAGAATTATTAACAATAATAAAATTGAGGTACCACATGGGTAAATCTTAAAAAAGTAGCCTCATCATTGAAAAGCGTGAAATTATATTTTGATAATTTTCACTGTGAAATTATCAAATATAATTTTCACGGATAAATCAGTAATCCACTGAAAAGAATAAAATAAATCACAATAATAATAAATCATCTTTGATAATATAGCATGGAATGGAAATATTATTAACTAGCTTGTAGCTTTACTAAGCACATCATACCTTTTCAACTAACAATACAAATGTTTTAACTACAATGCTTGCAGACAATTACTCACGAAACAAAAGTCAATTTCAACATTGCTTTAAGGCATTAATCATAAAATACAAAACTTTATACTTCCGTACCATTCACATTGAAATATATCATATTAACTAGAATATACCATGTACAATGGTTTCTAATAGTGTTTTTACGAAAACACACAAGATATTATTGAATAGTTTACCAAGGTGCGTGTCGATCTTAACGAAAAACAAAACATAAGATATTCACTTATGGCTTTTCTTTGCAAATAAGAAATAAATACTATAGCCTTAACACCAAAGGCAATAGTGTTTTCATCAGACTTAAGCTTCGTACAACATTTCCCGAAATGAAAAGTAAATCCATTTATGACATCACTGTAGAAACTTATTCAACACTGAAGTTTCAAAATTGAAAAACAACAAACTAAACGATTCTTTAAAAGTAACATTAATGATAGATAGATAGATAGATACTTTTATTTCCTCCAATATTTGAAGAGCTGAACAAACAATAACAGCAATTACATACAATGTACATAATGTAACAATACAAATATTCGTGACATCTAAATATATGAAAAGAATTTATATAGCATAATTGTGAGTGACTGTAAAGCTTTTTAGAGTGCGAGTTCTAGACGAAACGAAACTCTAGAAACTTCTCTCTGGTAAATGAATAATATATACTTCACTTAAAAACAACACTTGTCTATTATTCGAAAAGTTAGACAAGTTATCTGAATATAAGTGACATAAAACTGTAATTATCAAATAAATTATTATATATATGTTTAGCGAACAGTCACTCGACATTACAATATTAAATTATATATATATACATGTAATATAAAATAGTATGTGAAATATAGATAAGAATTATTCATTAATTATCAACTGATGATATATGATGGATAACCATCTGAACTTTAAACAAATGTTTAGGTTTACGTTTATGAAACAAGTTGTCGTTATAACAACTTTAGCGATTAAAGCGTATTCAGATCAAAATATGCATGACAAATAGCGCAAACAACAAGAACAAACAAGTGATAATAACAAACATAGCGTCATTGTGTCACTGTTGCTACACCTAATCAACTGAACATTTGATAAATCAAACGCAACAGTAGAAAACGTGATTTTCTGGCACTCGCGTATGTTAAGTTTAAGAGCATGTCCATTTGAGTAGCTCTTGCTTGATTTATCCATTTCAAATAATAGTTTAAGCCGACGTCATTAATTATAGTGTTCCATACTGACTGTCTGACTGAATTGTTGACTTGGCAAAAGTTCAATAAATGGTCATTTACATCGTCACAAATATTTTCACACTTTTTACATAGTTCTGTAAACTGACGTGAAACTCTCTTTCCGGCAAGCATAACAGCTACGGCACACATGGGACGTAACTCTGGATGCACTGTTGCAATAATCCAAAGATCACACGGGTGCCCGGACTTTGGCAAATAATCAACATTTGATATAGTGTCTGAAAAGTTTTGGTTTAATCGTTCATTCCTCTGAAATTTCTCTGGAATTATCACATGTAGATGTAATAGTGTTTTCCATTGTTGTTTTGAGTGAAATATGCCGGTACTTATATATATATCTAGTTCATTAAGTAAATTGTATTTTTTGAGAAGTCTGTATATATCAGGTATAAAGCCAGATATTTGACCATCACTATTCAGGTACCTAGTTAAACGTTGTATAAATATTTGTTTGGCTAAATAATGGGCCGGAAGTCTACACAGCTGCCCGAAAAAGACAAGCTTTTTATAATCTATGATTGTCTCTATAGAGTCTATATCTAATGCAGAAAGTGAAAAGTCTGTACTTATTCCAGGTTTCAAAGATTGTATATTCTTTACACAGAAACGATGGGAAATCTCAAGTTGACGTATTTCCCTCTCAGCAAACGTGTGCCAGAGTTCACTCCCATACAATGCCTTCGGAATCACAACGGATTTGTAAATTGTTTTTAAAGTAAGCGGATTAATTCCATTCGGATGCAAACCGCTGTTAAGGACACTAATATACGTTCCTCGTAGTTTAATACAAGCGTCCTGGATTGATTTCTTGGTTGATAAAAAACTATTACAATTAATACCAAGGTGTGTATATTCCACTACTTCATTGACGGTTTGAGGACCTAATTTCCATCGGCGTTCCATATTTCTGTTTCCCGCCTCGTTAAACACAATCACACCACATTTGTTCGCATTATACTCAAAACGCCATTTCACAGAGTAATTATGACAAATTGACATCATTTCCTCCAAACCTTTCCTAGAAAAAGATACTAGAATCATGTCATCTGCCACAGTGGGTGCACATACATTCATATTAAACATACAAAAACCAAAATTACTATCTGTCAATTCGTTGATAAGCCCGTTTATGAAGATGAGATATAAAGTTGGTGAACACTTACTACCTTGCCTGGTACCTTGCATAATTGGAAAACATGCTGATAGGAATCCCTGGTTCCTCACACAACTAGTTATGTTTTTGTATAAATTTGAGAATGTAAGGAATGATGTCATGTCAATTCCAGTTTCAAGCAGTTTATACAAAAGGCCGTTATGCCACACTCGATCAAACGCTTGCTTTCCATCTAAAAAACAAACGTAAAGCTTGCTGCTGTGCTCACGTGAATAAAATACACTCTCGCGCAAAATAAAAGACGTCATTAATGTCCCTAATTGTTCTTGAAATCCACCTTGTTGCTTGTTTATTGTCGAAAGTAATTTATCTTTACAACGTTCTAGCAGAACCATTTCAAATAGTTTAAGAATAGTTGAAGTTAAGGAAATAGCTCTATAGTTATTCGGATCATCTTTCCTCTTATTGCCGCCTTTATGTAAGGTTATAATTATGCCACTTTTCATTGAGTCTGGGATGTAAGCATTTCTCAACATGAAAGTAAAAATGTTTGCAATAATGGGAGAAATAGCTTCACATGCATAAATTAAATGCTCGTAATACACTTTATCTGCTCCACAGGCTTTTCCCTTTGGACACGTTTTTATTAATTTTGTCACACTATCTGGTGTAACTGTAACATGTTTATCTGGGGCATTTATTAGGATAGTATCAGAGACTAGTTCATTTACTACACCATACCAGTTGTCGTCATATAATGGGTTCTCACATGGACTATACAAATTTTTGAAATATGACGCCCACTGCTCAGTCAGATCTTGTGCATCTCTGTAGATATGATCGTTGAATTTTATACCTGCACCTGTGGATATTTTAGCTGAGTTTTTGCGACTCTTGACAATTTTCCAGAACTGTTTTTGATCAACTTCAGCCGTGCGATCTAACTCATGGTCTAGTTTCATAAGGTATTGTTGCACGTGATATCTGTGTGTGCGCCTGAATTCACGTTTTGCAATTTTGTACTGACAGTATATATTATCCGACGGATTTCGAGGTCTTCCATCCGCACACCACGCCTTTCTTTTTTCAATCATAATTTTGTGCGCGTTTTCAAGTTCATGATTCCAGTATGGTTTGAGAAACTTCTTAAATTTTGATTCTGGAAGACACTTAGA